CCTCTTTCTTTGCTAACTTGAAGAAAAGTTTGAGGGCTAGCTGGAAAGGCGTTGACGTTAAGCAAGACCCACAGTTCTGGGCGTAATGAGCAGGTGCCTCAGGGGACAGGCACTGGCACTGGTCCCTGGACAGGGCAAGCGGCGCAGCTCAGTTGGCCCCAAGGGTTCGTGCTTCATCGGGGCCTGCGGTAAGGTCTGGTCCTTTAGGATCCCCCATCTGGGAAATGGAGGCATCTCCCCAGAAGAAGAGTGGTATAAAATCTTGCAGTTCTCTAGGGGGTCAGGACCACATAGTTCTTGGTGGATTGCTAGCCTTTCTGGGAGGTTGCCTTCCTTCAGAAGCCCACTTGTGCCAGCTTTGGCGATGTGAGGCTTCAGAGATCACATTTCTTTGAATCTTTAGTTTCTCACCCATTTAGGCATTTAGGGCATGATAGTCTATGGCTGATGGTGGGTGGATATGCCTTTATGGAGAGCAGAAGTCAGTGACTCTCTCCTGAGGTGGTTGATTTACTTCCAGTTGGAAAAAGAGAGGTTTTTGAGCTTGGTGTTGTCACAGGAGCTCCTCTTGGGGACAGGAGATGCAGCCCATGGACTTTGGAGAGAGACTGCAGGGAAAAAAGACAGAAGACTTTGGATCTGGGGCACCCGGCTGGCTCAGTCGGTGGAGCATGTGACTCTTGATCTCGGGGTCGTGAGTTTGAGTCCCACGTTGGGTGTAGAGCGTACTTAAACAAATAAAACTTTAAAAAAAAAAAAAGAAGAAGACTTCAGATCTGTCAGGGGAAAACTAGTAAAGAGAGAACACCAGTATTTTCGTGGATGAAATACAGTTTGGAGGTAGAGAAGATTGCCTTGGAGAGGGGCGTGGAGACCAGAGGAGGCAGACCTGGCTTGATGACCTGTTGGCCATTTTAGGAACCAGGTATGCGTGAAGCCTCACTCAGGTGATCACAAAGATTAGGAGCAGTTGGCGGTAACTATATTTAACCACATAGGAACCTGCTAGACTGCTCTTCAAAGTGACTACACCATTGTACATTTCACCAGCAGGGTGTGGGGGGTTCCAATTTTTCCACATCCTTGTCAACACTTGCAATTATCCATCTTTTTTATCATTGCCACTGTGGTGGGTACGAAGTGTTATGTCATTGTGATTATGATTTGTGCTTCCTTGATAGCTAATGGTGATAAGTATCTTTTCATGTGCTTATTGGCTATTTATATATTTTCTTTTTTTTAAGATTTTATTTGTTTATTTATTTGACAGAGAGAGCAAGAGCATAAGCAGAAGGAAGGGCAGAGGGAGAAGGAGAAGCAGGCTTCCTGCTGAATAGGGAGCCGGACATGGGGCTCAATCCCAGCACTCTGGGATCATAACCTGAGCTGAAGGCAGATGCTCAACTGACTGAGCCACCCAGGCGCCTGGGCCATTTATATATTTTCATCAGAGAAATGTCTGTTAAGATCTTCGTCCATTTTTAAAAAACATTTTTGTCCATTTTTAATTGGGTTGTCTGTTCATTATTGAGTTATAAGAGTTCTTTTTTTTCGAGAGAGAGAGAGAGAGAGCGTGTGAGCATGAGATGGGGGGGTGGAGGGCACAGGGAGAAAGAGAGGGAGAAGGAGAGGGAGAAGCAGACTCCTTGCTGAGCAGGGAGACAGGGAGCTTGATCCCGGGACCCTGAGACATGACCTGAGCTGAAGGCAGACACTTAACAGACTGAGCCACCCAGGTACCCCTTGAATTATGAGAGTTCTTTTTTTTTTTTTTAAGATTTTATTTATTTATTCATAAGAGACAGAGATAGAGAGGCAGAGGGAGAAGCAGGCTCCCCACTGAGTGGGGAGCCTGATGCAGGACTCGATTCCAGGACCCTGGGATCATGACCTGAGCCCAAGGCAGACGCTTAACCATCTGAGCCACCCAGCCACCCAAGAGTTCTTTATATATTTTAGGTACAAGTCCCTTATCAGATATATGATTTGCAAGTATTTTCTCCATTCTTTGGATTATCATTTACACTTTCTTCATGGTATCTTTTGAAGCTCAGGTTTTTAATTTTGATAAAGTACAATTTATGTATTTTCTTTGTTTGCTTGCACTTTTGGTGTCATTTCTAAGAAGGCTTTGCCTCACACAAGGTCATGAAAATTTACTCCTATTTTTTATCCTAAGAAAAACTGTCATAGTTGTTTTTTTTTTTTTTAAGATTTTATTTATTTATGGAGAGAGAGCGAGAGAACGAGGGGGGGAGGGGCAGAGGGAAAGGGAGAAGCACACTCCCTGCAAGGCAGGGAGCCTGACCTGGGGCTCGATCCCAGGACCCTGAGATCATGACCTGAGCCAAAGGCAGATGCTTAACTGACTGAGCCACCCAGGTGTCCCCAAACTCTTATAGTTTTAGCTCTTACATTTAGGTCTGTAATCCATTTTGAATTAATTTTTGTGTATGGTATAAAGAACAGATTCATTCTTAAGTCTGCTCAGTTCTCTCCCACACTCCACCCCCATGCTGTCCATGCATTTTCTTTGCTTAATGCAGACCCAGAACCTCTTTTACCTGCCTTTTTCTCTTGCTCTGTGACTTTACAACTCTTTAGTAAGTATTCTTGGTCTAGTGGGGCCTTTGGATAAATTTGCCCTTGGCCAGGCCTTTCCACCTCACGGAGAACAGGAAGAGAAGAAAAACGATGGTATGAAAAAGGAGGGATAAACGTAGGAGTGAATTTGTTGGCACCTGTGGCTCTGTTCTTGCCCTTTTCCTCCCTAGTCTGAGGTGAGGTCTTACTTGGACTTCCTCGGTCTTGGGGTTTTTCAACACCATGTTTTCTGATGGCGGCAGGTACCACCTGGTTGTCAGTGCTGGCCATCGACTGCTGTGCCACCCACAGAACCGCAGGACAAGTCAGGAAACCTGCATGCCCTGCCCACGCCTCCTGGGTTCCTAGGAAGGTCACACAGGGAAGTAGAGGCTTCTGGAATCAGAGTTCAGCAGACTAGAACTAGTGGCTGAATTTTCATCTCCAGTAGGATCAGCACAGAGTGAATTCTCTGCTCCTAAATTTCTCACTCAGCTTGTATAGCCTCCTTATTATTTATGCTGATGGCTCCTGGAGTTAATCGTGTGGTTAATCCAAAAACCATTTACGTGACGTGAGATACAACAGATTTCCCATACGAATATGTTGTATTTAGTGTGATACTTGACTGAATATGCATTCCACAAGTGCACTTGTGCTGAAGGGAAGAGGGGTCGGCCCAGGATTGTGCTAGATAGTCGAGTACAGGCACATCTTCCTAGAACATTGCTTTAGTCATGACCTTTCATGCTTCAAAACTTTTTTTTTTTTTAAAGATCTTACTTGTTTGTCAGAGCGAGAGAGAGCACAAGCAGGGGGAGCAGCAGGCAGGGGGAGAAGCAGGCTCCCCACTGAGCAGGGAGCCCGATGCGGGACTCGATCCCAGGACCTGGGATCATGACCTGAGCCGAAGGCAGACGCTTAATGACTGAGCCACCGCACCCCGATCCTAGGCCTTTCTGACATGTATTTATTTCTCTTCAGCTTCCTCTGGCAAGCAGCTCTCTGACTCCCACCCCCAGGCAGCACCAGTTTCTTCATCTGTCCCCCCTCCCTTTTATTTATAACTCCATAGCACTCATCAAATTGTATTCTTTGCTGTTTTCCCAGCTGGACAGAGCCCATGTCTTCTCATTTTTGCATCCCCAGCTCTGGCACCGTCCTGGCTTAACAGTAAGGCCCTCAATACACTGGGTAGAAGTAAACTGATTAGGAGTTTGGCAGCGCCTGAGCCAGGTCAGGAAAGGCCTTCAATTCCAGGCTAAGGAGGTAAAACTTTACCCTGAGGTTCATCTTAAGTGGAGGTGTAACATGATCTTGTTGTAGATTCTTCCAGTGTCAAGTGCTCTTGGCAATACCAGGAGAGGCATGAGGTGCCCTGTTTCTGGCCTGATGTGTGAGGGCCAGGAGTCTTTGTGACCGTATTAACCGCACCCTTCGAGCCTCTGCTGTTCTTGATGTCTCTGTCCCTGTGTTCGCACTACGTGTATACCACTTGACTTTGAGTTTCTCTGTGTCATGGGTTTGTCTCATCTCCCTGATAAGAGAATAAGCCTCCTCCTCTTGTGTGCACAGTGTGCACATCCCCCCCCCCCTCGTGCACCCCCTCCTCCCTAACATGAAGTACGGCGTGTAGTAGATATCTTAGTAAGTGCTTGTTCAATTGAAATTGAATAGAACTCTCTGGGGCTATAAAATTTAGCACAACTAAAAAATTAGTACAGCTAATCCCTAGAGTGAATCATCTGCATGGGGCCCAGTGGAAATAAGGGGTGAGCCTACAGAGTTCATATATATGGATTCTCTCAGAAATTTCCTGCTATTGGGTTGTGTAGTCAAGAAGAGAGATGAAGGGAGAACTAAAAACCTGCCAACTTATAACCATTCGAAGTAGGCTGAACCAGAAGTTACAGAGAATTAACAAATAGCGCATTCTTGAATAGCTGCCGTTAGAAAAATTCACCCTGGCCCAGCATAGCTGACCCTGTCAGGCAAGGGTTTCAGTCTTTCCTAGTCATCCCAGCATTTGGTGCCTTGGTCTTGGCACCAAATCTGGATTTGAGACTAACGCAGAATCAATGAGTAGTACGTCCTAGAACATTCTGGTATAAAACCATGCTCTCTGAGCCAGTGCAGTGTGTTCTTTCTGGTGTGGAGGTGTGAACTAGGCAAGGTGGGATGACACAAGAACCGTGAACGTCTTAACTTCTTCAACTGTCCGAGCCAAGCAATACATGCCAGGAAAAAGGAAGTGGGACAGCTCCCATGAATTGTTTCTGTTGGCAGGAAGACCAGGAAGTGGAATGGTTTCCTCCATAGGCACGCACTTCACAATCAGGTTCCCTGTGAGCACCCCCTGGATGGGAGTTGGTGTGGCTTTTGTCATGTGGCTGGTAAGCCAGTGTGGGGGGTATCCCAGACCTGGGTGCTGGGGATTTTCAGTGTCCAGTTTGATGAGTTTCAACAAATGTATATTTGGTCACGTAATTATCACCCCAGACAATACATAGAACACTTCTGTCACCCCAGACTCATGCCTCTCGTGTCCCTTTACAATCAACTTCCCTCAGCCAACCCAGGCAGCTTCTTACTGGATTGCTCTCACCGTAGATTCCTGTTCTAGGATTTCATATAAATGGACTCATGCAGGATATACTCTGGTGTCTATGCCCGTCAGTTTCTGCCAGCAGTTTGTTGAGTCCCTGCCACACTGCCAACTTTGCTGATACCCTGCTGCCCCCCTCCCCAGACATATACGCGCCTGTATCTGCCTTCATCTCCATGGGAGCAAATTAGTTTTTTCACCAATTCTAGGAAAAGTGTGGTTCCCCAGCCCAGATACTGCATTAACTCGAACTTATTCCACCCTCTGACATTTCTACATAAAAAAGGTTTGGAGCATGAAAGGGGCGGCAAATTGAATGCTGTTTCCCCCCATTTATGCTCCTAATGAGTCTCGGTTATTCCCTCACTACCACATGGGCCTCATTGAGATAATAGGATTTGCAAAGAAAGTCTCTGGGAGACAGAAGGCTGTGCATCCCCTCCCCCCTATCCATTAAGGCAGAACCTAGGGTTTCCTCTGTAAATCCTGAATGCATTAGTGGCCACTGGGTTGAGGGTCAAATGTCAAATACTCCACTGTGAAGGGAGAGGACATCTGTGGCTAATTAGACCACTAATTGGCTAAGCTGGGGACAGGGAAGGGCAGGATGCTCGCTCTCAGCTTGGTGCCAATGGGAAGCCAGCCCGTCAGCCTCCAGCTCCCTGAAGGGAGATGAAAGCCAATGGGAAGGTTTGTTTGCAGTGGGGGCAAGGCACCCTACCCCATCTCGTCCAGTTCAGCCTAAGGCAGGACATGGCTTGAGAAGCTGACCCTGTTTTAATCAGGAGGGGAAGAGTGAGCCAGTGGCCAGATGCCTACCTCTTCTTCTTGCTTTAAATTTAATTATTTACTTTGGAGATGAGTTATACACCCACACAAACTCATCCAGCTTTTTTTCCTACCCCAACCCAACATCTTGAGTGACCCATCAATTTGTATGAAAACGTTAAAGGCCTCAGGACCCACATAGGTTGTGTGATGTTTATTCATTGATCCACCTATTGCTACATTTGACAAATATTTATATAGTACCTGCCATATGCAAATCATGGGGCCAAGCACTGTGGAGCCTCCAGAGATCAGTTAGATGACCTTTGCTTACAAGGATCAGTAATACGATCTTGCCTCACTTATAGTCTAGCAAGCTTGTGAGGTTGATAAGCATTAACTACAATGTGAGGGAGGTTGTGTGATGGCCAAAGGATGGATACAAACACTACTTCAGAAATTCCAGAGTGAGAGAGAACATTTATGGCCTAGAGAATCATGGAAAGCTTCATGGAGTAGGTGCTTTTTGAGCTGGAATTTATCAGGTTGGGAGAATTTCAATAGGTGGAGATGAGGTTGGGAACTTCTTGGAAGAGAAGAGCAGAAAGACAAGGAGGGAATCCGCGGACATGCTTTTTTTGGTGAGATGGTGGCATTCATGTTGTAGCGTCTTGTGTCTCTGAGGCTGGTGGCCTACCGGCCGAGAACCTTACTTTCCCCTTGCTTTGCAGATCAATGAGCTGAGCAATGTCCCTGTGCCTGTCATGCTAATGCCAGATGACTTCAAAGCATACAGCAAGATCAAGGTGGACAATCATCTCTTCAATAAGTAAGTGGCCTCCTGAGTGGGCTCAGGTTTTGTGGGCAGTCCTTTCCCTCAAGGTGGAGAGCTTCAGAAAACTCGCGCATGGCAGTGGTCGCACCTGGCAGGGTGTGACAGTGACACCTGGATCTCCCAGCTGACAGACTGGCCGGGGAAAATGCATTCATTAGGTGCCTCTCCCCTTTGTGTCATTCTGTCATCTCCTTTATCTGCCTACCTCCAGGGTCCCTCGGGGCGTGTGGCCCGGCCCAGGGTGATTCATCTGGGGCCAGGTTAGGTAGCAGAGAAGCTGCCAGACATGTTCCTGGCCCGGGATGCAGCTCTTCTGTCTCCCGACGGGCGTGTGAGCCACAGGCTGAGCATGGTGCCCAAGGGCGCCATCCGAAGTAATTGCTCCCCCTTTTGTTCATTGTGGCTTCTGGGACGAACGCTGGCGTCTGAAGGGTTGGAGCAGCGAAGAAGCAGCCGTTTTGCCAGGTGCAGGGTGGGGCCTGCCCTAAGCCCTTGGGGGGCCTTGCTTTTTCAGCCAACTGTGGGCCGCCCCGGGAAGCGCTTGCTGCCCACATCCTCCTTTCTGCGCTCGCATCCCGGGGCCCCACGGTCCCTGGCACCCCTCCTCCAGCTGGCCTCTGTCGCCCCACCATTACCAGACTGTTAGCTGGAGGGGAAGCTTGGTTTGAAAATACCCCTTAGTGGCCTCTCTCAGCCACAGTATGTAATAACAACACTTTATTCGAGAAGCCATCTGTCTTCAGAGCTAAGCAGCCACCGTGTAGAAGAAAAACTCCTGTGTTTCTGCTCTGCTCTCACACCACTACCACATTGCACTTCCCTGGGTTTTCCACACGTGGGGCAGTTCCGTGGGACAGCGGGGTGTCCTGCCAACGCAGCTGACACTGTCTGCCTGGACGTAGCATCGGGCCCCGCAGGTTCCGTCCCACGAAGCTGCCCCCCTGCCTTCAGGTGCCAGTCGCAAGTCTAGGTCGTCACCTGTGTTCATGACCAGCCTGCTGTGGGTCCCACATTCCCACGACCCTCCCCCTTGGGTTTGGTTAATTTGCTAGAGCGGCTCACAGAACTTGGGAAAACAGTTTATTTACTTGCTTACTGGTTTATTATAAAGGATACAACTCAGGAACGACCTGTACGGGTGCACCACCCTCCCCACACCTGCACCTGTTCAACAGCCTGGAAGCTCCTGAGTCCCACCTTCATTGCAAAGGCATGATTGATGAATCATTGGCAATTGGTGATGGGTTCAATCTCCAGCCCCTCTCCCCTCCCTGCAGGTCAGGGGAGTGGGACTGAACGTTCCAACCCTCTTATCCTGGTTGGTTCCCCTGGCAACCAGCAACCCATCCTTTGAGGCTTTCCAAAAGTCACTTTTTTTTTTTTTTTTAAAGTAGGCTCCATGCCCAGTGTGAAGTCCAGCGTGGGGCTTGGACTTACGACCTCTGAGATCAAGACCTGAGCTGAGATCAAGAGGTGGATGCTTAACCGACTGAGCCACCCAGGCGCCCCCCCACCCTTCCAAAAGTCACCTTATTAACATAAACTCAGATGTGGTTGAAAGGGGCTTGTTATGAATTTTAAAAAAAGACCTATTTATTGCTCTTATGATTTCAGAAATTCCAAGGGTTTTAGTTGCTCTGTGCCTGAAACAGGAACAAAGACCAAATATGTCACAGTATCACACCCCCTAAGGAGGGAGAAGCAGCCCTTGGCCCTGTGGCAGGCAAGGAGGTGGCTCTGTCCCAGGGCTCAGGGCTCTGGAAGGGGGCATCGCACCACCGCCTATTTCAGGGTCCATGGCCTCTGGTGAAGTTCCACCACCTTGACATCTTGGCCTAAAGCAGAGCATCCAATCTCTTCTTTTATCTCTCTTTATTCCTTTTGTCCTTTCAGTAACTGTTGATGTGCTGTGGTGCCTTTTACTAGAAGAAGGGGACAGGAGGCAGAGGAGGCCCCTGCCTGCAGGAGAAGCCACTGCTGTTTATTTCCTCAAAGTGTGTCATCCTGGAGTGTAGGCAGGGGCACGGATTTCTCAAAGGGAGTTCCCAAGCAAGGGGACCATTGTAAAGATGGAGGATGTGGAGATGGCCTCCCTTCACGGCGACTCTGTCCCCTCCTGGGAGTCTGTGGCTTATTGACCAGGGAGTGGGGAGGGTGGAGATTGGTACTAGCAGCCCCCAGACAAGGCTTCCCGAAAAGATGGGATCCGGTCAGCTGACGGAGGACCTCTTCAATCCAAAGCGCCCTCATCCTCCATCCCCGGGGAAGCCCAGGGCTTCCCGCATGTGGCCATCTTCAGGACGTGTTGGTAGAAGCGTCCTCAGAGGAGAGGGTGCCTTGGTTGAGAAAGGCCGCTCCTTTTAGCAAACGTCAGCCTGCCGGCCGCCTCACACCAGCCATGCACACGCAGTCACTCCCGTGTGCAAGCACAGCCCTTGAGCAGTGTGGCCGACGCTCCGGCTCGCTTCTCGGCACGTGAGGCTCTCCCCTTTCGTGTAAATTTTGTCAAAAGAGAACATACACTCAGAAAAAGTACACAAATCATAAGGATACAGCTCGACTCATTTTTACAAGGTGAACACGGCGATGTAAAGTTTTAAAACTCTTACACGCTCAGCATCACCAGGACTGTTTGTTAAATACTCCAGACTCCTCTCCAGAATTCCTGGGGCCTAGAAACCTACATTCTGAGCGCCACAGATTGTTCAGGTCCCGGTGACCTGTGGCACAAACCCAGGGAAGTTCTGATGAAGAATTAGACAGATGGGCAAGGAAGGGCTCACGAAGACATTTCTCTGCTTTGCCCTAGGGAGAACCTCCCCAGCCGCTTCAAGTTTAAGGAGTACTGCCCCATGGTGTTCCGGAATCTCCGGGAGAGGTTTGGGATTGATGATCAGGATTACCAGGTACGGGGTGTCTTTGCAGAGTAGGAGGGGTCAGGGAGTGGAGTGGGGTTAGGAGGCCACAGGAGACATGGAGAGGGAGGTCTCCCGTTCTCGAGCTCTGTCTTCCTGTCCTGTCCCGCTCCAGCCGGGTGGTCTCTCCCAGGGTGCCAGCAGGCTCCTGGAGCTCGGGGCCCTAGAAGTGCTAAGTGCTTCTGAAGCCACAGGCAGACTCAGGCTCCTCTCCCTGGGAGGGAGAGGGGCTGCCGAAGCTGCTTCATCTCAGTCTGACATTCCCAGTCTAGGCCCAAGAACTCGTCTCCTCCGTAGTTTGACTTAAAAGAGCGAGTTGTTGCCAGCGGGTGATGAGGCCTCTTAAAGCAGGTAAGACAGAGTAGAAAAGGAAGACTTGGAGGATAGTGTAACCTTGGCAGGTATGCGTGCCGCCGCCTCCATGGTCCAGCCTGCTGCGGGAAGGGGGCCGGCATGGCCGGCGACTGCCCCCTCCCAGGGCTGGTAATGCCGCCTGTGGCCCAGTCTCAGGGACATCACAGTCTGACTCCTAGTCTGTGGTTTCTGTTACTGCTCCACCTAGCCCCTTCCGTGGACCTTCTGCCCCTGACAGACAGCCTGCTGGTGACGGTGGGAGAATTTTCCACTTCAGTTTGCTAGCAGGAAGAAATACAGCTGATTTGCGTTTGTCTGGGGGGGAAAAAGGAGCGTACAGCCTGGTGAAATCTAAAATGGATGTCCAAATCTTTTAAAATACCGTAACCCCTCCAGGCCGGGTCCTAGTAAGCCTTTCATGGAGTAGTTCCTGAGGAGCAGGATGCACCTGGGTGAGGCCCCTCTCCTCTCCTGTCCACTCTGGAGGGCGGCCTGCAAAGATGCCATCCCCAAGAGGAGGGCGCAGGGATGCCGGAGGAGGAGATGCCAGGGACGGAAGGCTCCAGAACGGCTGTGCCTGAGAGGTACTGGGAGGTGCCTCCAGCCCCCTCTGTTAGGACCAAACCCTGAGCTAAATCAGGATCTGATTGGAGCTGGAGGTTTTCTAAGAACTTGCCGCTGTTGCAGCCCCAGATTGCTCGGACACCTTCCTTCCGCTGTGGCTCCTTCCCTTCCCCTCGGCGCTCTAACCACATCCTCTCCGTGTCTGCATTTTTTCTCTCATAACCTTGTGGGCAAGTGATTGTGCTCACGATGCGTGGTGTTCAGGGAGGGGACTAACCGTGTAGAGGGTCAGAGCACACTGCCTGGAAACGAGGCAGGGATGGGAGCGTGGGGCCTGCTCGTCTTCCCGGAAGGAGAACCAGGCTGGGGGAGTGAGGCCCTCCGCTGTGGAGCCTACTCAACATTTCTGGATCGGGGGCACCTTGTTTTGGGGGTGCCCTTTTAATTTAGAGAGCACTCACCACTTCAGACTTGAGTCTTCCCCGTGAAGGTGGCGCTCTCTCCTTCCCCCAGGGTCTCGTGAGGAGGCACTGGGTGAGGGCAGAGCATCGAATCCTAGATAGCAGCCGAGGAAGGGGCTTGGAGAGGAGGCATTTCTGCGAGCAGACCCCCACATGTGTCTGCTTGGGGACAGGGACAGCTGGGGCCTCCTCTCTGCCTTGCCTTTCAAAGGTCTTCTCCCGGTGTCTGCTTGGTGAACACATCCCTTTGGTTGACTCACACCTCCCCCTCCACCCCCTCTAGAGGCTTCTACTGCTCTCTGATCCTAATGGGAATGGGGCCTCGAGGAGGAGCAGTGGCAGAGCCAGAAAAGCTCCCCAGAACTGCCTCATAGCTCTGCACAGACAAGCAGGAGTTTGAGGTGAGGGGAGAGGGGCTGGGCAGAGAGGCGAGGAACCCCTGCCTGCTGTGGGAAGGGTTTTCCAGCACCGGGGTATGTCCAGGGAAAAGAGATGATTGTCCATTGCTGCTTTATGCTGGACTTCTTGAATATTCCCTAGGCTTTGTCTTTGTCACCCCAGGAAACTGGGAAAAGCATCTTGGACTGCCTCCCTGTGTTCCAGGTCAGGAAATTCAGGAGTGGAGAAGTGAAATGGCTCACCCAAGGTCAGGTTACCTGTGGGCGTCAGGTCAGGGCCCAGCCCTAACGTCCGAGGCAGGGATTTCGTGGACAGGGTAGTTCTCAGGGGTCAGAAGGAGAGGAAACGTTGTGCAGCTGGCCCGCTGCCCGTCCGGTCAGGGATTAGGAGCAGGTGGTCAGTAGCAACTCTCGTCACTCTCCAGGAAGACCTGCGGGAGAGAAGTGAACTTCCCGTGACACCAGGGGTGGGTCAGGTCCCGCCTGTCCCAGCGTGGTTGGCCCAAGTAAAGGTCAGAGCCCTTGTTCCTCTCCCAAGACCAGCCTGCTTTTGTGTTGGTCCCTCAGAACTCAGTGACGCGCAGCGCCCCCATCAACAGTGACAGCCAGGGCCGCTGTGGCACGCGCTTCCTCACCACCTACGACCGGCGCTTTGTCATCAAGACCGTGTCAAGTGAGGATGTGGCTGAGATGCACAACATCTTAAAGAAATACCACCAGGTATGGTGAGTCCCGAGCCTGGGCGGTAGAGGACGAGTGGCCGGAGGGAGGAGAGAGCCCCTGGGCGGCTTCCTGGGGAGGGATGGGTCCTGTCGCAGCAGCCCCCGCCTCCCGAGAGCCGAGCACTTGGCCTTCCCCGGGGCCGGGTGCAGAGCTCAAATGCCTGTTGCAAAAAGGGAAAAAGGAGAAATGAAGGCCTGTTGCCCACTCAGTCCCCGTGGAACAGCTGTTTCTTGTCAGAGTCGGGAAGTTGCCCCCTCTGGCACCTGCCGCATTTCTTCCAGAAGAGGTCCCGTGGTCTGGGCAGGGTCGCTTCCTTTCCTGTCCGGGCTCTCCGCGCCCCGGGACGCCGTCCTGGAGGGAAGCAGGGAGTGCGGTGGCGGCGTCCGAGCGCCGGGCCTAGTGCCTGGGCCTTCAGGGAACGCTGCCTTCTCTCTGGGGCACCGGGAGGTGGTGAAAGGGACTTCCTGTCTCTGGGGCTACAGCGGAATCCCCCCGGGTGCCGCATGGCTAAGAACTCCTGGCAAGGAGGGAGCCGCTCTCTTTCCCTACAACCCGCTCGCAGGCCTGCCTCAGTGATTCTGCTTCAGACGGCAGTTTCAGGGGCGGCCCAGTAACACGAGACCAACGGGGCCCTGCCCGGCCCGCCCGGCCTCTCCCTCTGCCCGGCCGGCTGGGGGTTGGGGGGGGCCATGGCCTCTCTAAGTCCAAGGAAGCCCCATGACTTCACAGGACCCATCTGACCTGGAGGCTCGACTCCCCGGGAGCGTTTGAGCCTGGGGTGGGGGGGCTCCCCCGGCCGTCCCGGCGTCTTCATTCGTTCCTCAGCCGCCCGTCCTTCCTCCCTTGGCTCTAGTTCATAGTGGAGTGTCACGGCAGCACCCTTTTGCCGCAGTTCCTGGGCATGTACCGCTTGACCGTGGACGGCGTCGAGACCTACATGGTGGTCACCAGGAATGTGTTCAGCCACCGGCTCACTGTCCACCGCAAGTACGACCTCAAGGTAAAGGGCTCTGCGGCCCGCAGTTCGGGGGCTGCCCTCCCTCAGGCTCCCACACGACGGGAAGCCCCCGGGCCGTAGGTTTCGGCACAGTCAGGACTCTGGAGTTGACGTGCCTAATTCCTCTGGGTCAGAGGCTGTTGGAAGTCCAGGTGACAGGGACGAGAGGTTACTTAATGTGCCGTATTTGTGTCACCGTCAGGTGTTCTTCAGCTCCTGCTGGGGGCATGTGCGCTCCAGGGGCGGCTGTCTGACGCACGCACCCTGCCATCTGTCCAGGACACACACATTTCTAGACCCAGAAAGGAGCACGCTTGTGCCTGGGAGCCACAGTGCTCCGCTGTTCTCGAAGCCGGCTTCCTGACACCTCACAGCCCTGTCTGTCCCCGCTGCAGCCGCAGTGCTGCCCTTTCCATTCCCGCCCGGTCCCCAGCACCTCTCTTGGCCGCCCGGCCTCTCCCCTCCCTGCTCTTTTGTCCATCTTCGCCTTCCGTCACCCCGTTACTTCCTGCCCGGCTCGGATGTCACTTCCTGCAGGAAGCCGGCCTGGACTGCTGCCCCTGTGCCACCTGCTCTCGGCGTGTCCTCCTCCCATGTCCCACCTGGCACTGGTGTAATTAACGGATTAGCTAATCACGTAACCGCTTGTTAGAGCCTGTCTCCCATCTTGGGAGGCAAGTCCCCTCAGGGCAGGGACTGAGTCTTGGTACAGCCCTGTTGGCTGAGCGCGAGCCTCGTGTCTACCCAGAGCTCTGTCAGTGTCCGTGACAGAGGGCGTGAGCAGGTTGCTGCCTCCCGGCCCCTCGAGGGTTCTAAACAGCCTCCCTCAGTTCACCTGCTGCCTCTCCCCAGAGACGGGTGCATGTTTTCTCGCTCAGCGGACTTTGCCTCAGCTGGACCTCCCCTGACGGCTCCTATCCTTGCAGGGCTCTACTGTCGCCAGAGAAGCCAGTGATAAGGAGAAGGTATGCGGGGACCCGGACTGATGGAGTGTGGCCTCGGCCGCTTGGAATCAACTTCTGTCGGTCGGCCTGGCCCTTCCTCCGCCACAGCCCCTACCTGGTTCCCACTTACGCCTCTGTCGGGCTGTGTCACTGAGCACCCGCCTGGCCTCGGCCTCGGCCGCGCTCTCCGCCTTGCCGGCTGCCCACAGTCCTGCAGGGCTGGCGACTTCTGTCCATGGGCCAGCCTCTGTTGGGCCGTGGCTTCCTGAGCCCCGAGGTAGTCCAGGCTCGGCAGGAAGACACGCTTTGGTCTGTCCTCCCTGGCTGACGTAAGCCACACAGTCACCATCCCTGCCTCCCGAGGCTGGGACTGCAGCCTCCTGCGCTGAGCCTGGTGATTTGACAGGTCGACCCTCTGTGCTCTAGGGACCCTTCCCCTTTTTGTGCCGTCACCTCTTGGGGTGAATGTATTGGGCCACCCAGCCTAACGCTGCTGTTGCTCTCCCAGGCCAAGGACTTGCCAACATTCAAAGACAACGACTTCCTCAATGAAGGGCAGAAGCTGCATGTGGGAGAGGAGAGTAAAAAGAACTTCCTGGAAAAACTGAAGCGGGACGTAGAGGTACTTACTGACCCTCATTTTCACCTTGGTTGAGGAGGGCCCCCTCTTGTCCTCAGAGCAGGAGCCTCTTTTTTTTTTTTAAGATTTTATTTATTTATTTGACAGTGAGAGACACAGTGAGAGAGGGAACACAAGCAGGGGGAGTGGGAGAGGGAGAAGTAGGCTTCCCACCGAGCAGGGAGCCCGATGCGGGGCTCGATCCCAGAACCCTGGGATCATGACCTGAGCCGAAGGCAGATGCTTAACGACTGAGCCACCCAGGCGCCCCAGGAGCCTCTTTAACCTTAGGAAAAATTGAATTCACTGGGCTCCTGGCTGGCTCAGTCATTGGGTGTCTGCCTTCGGCTCAGGTCATGGTCCCGGGGTCCTGGGATCGAGCCCCGCATCGGGCTCCCTGCTCAATGGGGAGTCTGCTTCTCCCTCTCCAGCTCCCAGTGCTTATGTTCCCTTTCTTGCTGTCTCTCTCTGTCAAATAGATAAATAAAATCTTTAGAAAAAAAAAAAAGAAAGAAACAGAACCAATAGATGGTGCCAATGGATGGATGGACGGATGGATGGATGGGTCAGTAGTTAGACAGACAGTCAGGTGTTTAGTATAAGGAATTGGCCTCCACAGTTATGGAGGCTGATGTTCCCAAGAGCTGCAGTCGGCGTGCTAGAGAGACCCAGGAGAGCAGATGATATAGTTTCAGTCTGGAGGCCAGTGGGCTCAAGACCTAGGAAGGGCCAGTGTTTAGTCCATGTCTGAAGGCAGGAAGAAACTGATGTTCCGGGGCGCCTGGGTGGCCCAGTCATTGAGCGTCTGCCTTCAGCTCAGGTCATGATCCCAGGGTCCTGGGATCGGGCCCCGCATCGGGCTCCCTGCTTGGCGGGAAGCCTGCTTCTCCCTCTCCCACTCCCCCTGCTTGTGTTCCCTCTCTCGCTGTCTCTCTCTCTGTCAAATAAATAAATAAAATCTTTAAAAAAAAAAAGAAAGAAACTGATGTTCCAGCTCAGAGGGACTGGGCAGGAGGAGTCCCTTCTACTCACAGGAGGGTCACCCTTTTTGTTCTGTGCAAGCCTTCAACTGTTTGGATGAGGCCCACCCACATTAGGGAGGGCAGTCTGCTTTACTCATTTTGCTAATTCGCATGTTAATCTTATCTACAAACACCTTCACAGATGCACCCAGAATAATATCTGACCAAATGTCCGGGCACCAAAAATTAACCATCGCACTTGGATCAATTCACTGTGAATAATGTGGCTATGTGCGTGGGTTTTACGAACGGCTTTCTTTCCTAGGAAGCTTTTCCTTCATCACCACCTGCTCCGTCTGTGCCTTCATTCTGCCTCAGTTTGCCCAGAGCCCTTCTCCTTCCTGTCCTCCCTTTCTCCCTACTCTCCTGAGAGGAAGTTAAGGCAGTTTGCACATTTCGTTTGTTTTCATTTGCCTGTTGCTCTCTCAGTGTTCTCGGGTGGATAGCAGTGGGTGTGGGTCGTGGACTCTCTCTTCTGGGACCTCGGCCCCCTCCCCTTGGACCTTGGGAAGGGCTCGTCCAGAGGGGCTTGGTGTGGTGCCCCCCACCTTTCTCTCTAGAGGAGAGGCTGCTGATCGTCTGTCATCAGGGCTGCTTGTGCTTTTAGAAGCCCAGGAGCCTGTGCGTGGGCCGCTGTGGTCACGGCGCTCCGTCGGGCGGTTTCCCGGTGACCACGGCAGAGCCCGGCACGTGCCACGCGGCCGCTTCACTCAGGGTTTGCGCCGGCGACGGCGGCCTCGGCGGTCGCGGCGCTGGCGTTCTGGCTGGCCGGCTCCATCTGTGCCAGCCCCTTCCTGTCATCCTTCAAGTCACGGAGTCCGAGCCCAGGAGACCTGAGCCACCGTCCCGCGCGCGACGCTCGTGCAGGTGCCAGGCCCGCGCCGCAGCCGCGTCGGACCTCCGGGAGGATGCTCGAGTGGCGCTTGCCTCTGTCTTAGGGGCTCTTCCCTTTTCTTTCCCTTCGTCTCCCCGTTCTTATCCTGCCCGGTGCAGAAGCCGAGTCACGTGGTGTTCCGGGCGCGCCTGCGGCCGTCGGTGAGAAGCACGTTTTAGCTCGCAGCCCAGCACGTGAGCGCGCACACACACACACGACGGACCCACCGCCTACTTCCTCTAACACCTCTCACGTTTTCTGTTCTATTTCATAGTATTTCGTAATTAAAAAAATCCTGGCCCCAGCCTACTGACAAGGCCTCGGGCCCCTGATGGGTGAGATCTGTGGCCGGAAGGACGCGCCTCAGCGCCCGGCGGAGTCCCGCTCCTCCCCCCGACTCGCTGCAGCCTCTCTTGATCCCAGACCGAAGGGCCTCTTCCCTCGGGGCTCCTTCTGCCTTTCCTCCCACAGCTTCTGCCTGCCTGACCGCCCCTCATCCACAGGCTGCCTCAACCGCTGTCCCCAGGGAGGCCCCCGCCCCGCCGCCCTGGGCTCCCACGGCTCCCTGCCCTCGGGAATGGCTGTCCTCCCCGCGGGACACTGAGCTCACTGAAGGCAGAGCCTCGATGGCTTGTTCTCGCCAGCGTTTGAGAATTGGAGAATGGCCTTGAAGGGAGTGCCTTTTCTCCCCTTTCCAGATGCCCCCGGGGATGCCCCGTGTAACCTCTTCCTCCATCTCTCCTTCCCCACCTGCCCTAGTTCCTGGCCCAGCTGAAGATCATGGACTACAGTCTGCTGGTGGGCATCCACGACGTGGACCGGGCGGAGCAGGAGGAGATGGAGGTGGAGGAGCGGGCGGAGGACGAGGAGTGCGAGAACGACGGGCTGGGGGGCAACCTGCTCTGCTCCTACGGCACGCCTCCCGACAGCCCGGGCAACCTCCTCAGCTTCCCCCGCTTCTTTGGCCCCGGGGAGTTCGACCCCTCTGTTGATGTCTATGCCATGAAAAGCCATGAAAGTAAGTAGGAGCCCGCGTCTGCCCTGCCCACCCCTGGCCCCCGTGCGACCTTCTCAGGCCCATGTTTAGGTGCCCCTCTGGGTGTCTGGACCCCCACCTCATTCACTGCTGACTTTGGCCTTCTCCTGCCTGCGGGCTCTCCTCCCGATCTGCCGGCAGGAACTCTGGCTTCTGGGGCCCTGCGGTCCTTCTCTGTCAGGCTGTCCTTCCCCTCTCTGCTTGTCCTGGAAGCCGGAGGCTTGGCTCGGCCCCGGTTCATGGTTCTAAACCCTGAGAAAGACTGTCCACAAACAAGAGAAGAGCTCTGGAGGCTTCTGAGAAGGGCCCATTAGCATTCCTTTCCTCAGGGCCACGACGCCAGGGGTGGGTCCGGGCCTCAGGTCTGCAGGGCTCCTGCCCTCCTCCTCCCCTGCCCCCCCCAGGTGCCCCCAAGAAGGAGGTCTATTTCATGGCCATCATCGATATCCTCACACCGTACGACACGAAGAAGAAAGCTGCCCATGCTGCCAAGACGGTGAAGCACGGGGTGAGTCCTCCCTGCCGCTCCCAGACGCCCCCGCCCCCCCGCTCTCCCTGCCGGGCAATTTCCCCCTGCTTTGCTGGCTCCTTTCCCCAGGGCCCCTGGGTGTGACTACAGGTGACAGCTTGGTTTACCTGCCCATGCTCCTCCCCAGAGAGCCCTCTTCCCCTTGGACTTGAAGCTCCTGTCTCCACACAGGGACCCCGCCCAGAGATCCTGCGTCTCTCTCCCGCCTCCCCACCACCTTGCTGCTCCTTCAGGGGGCGCAGGCTCGGGGTTGGGAATCCCAGGAGTGAGGCCAGGGCCACTCTGAGACGGAACCGCTCCTCCAGGCGGCCTGGCCAGCCTGAGGTGTAGCCTTGCTCTCCCGCGCCGAGCCGGAGGCTCCTCAATCCCCAGGCTCCTCCCAGCTGGAGCCTCCCAGGAGCCACCCCGTTAGGGCCAGGAGCTTGACCTGAGCCGTGGCCTGTGTGTGTTCCAGGCAGGGGCCGAGATCTCGACTGTGAACCCTGAGCAGTACTCCAAACGCTTCAACGAGTTCATGTCCAACATCCTGACGTAGTTACCTGCTACCTTCAGCCAGAGCCAGAGAGCCGGATGTGGGGTCGGGGTCGGAAAAGGGAGAGGGTGTATTTGGGCTGGATGGGAGGGTGGGGAGCAGAGTGGGGAGGGTGGGGCGCAGAGGGGAGGGCTCTGGTGAGGAGCCGGCAGCCCAGGATGGAGAGACTAGCTGGGGGGGAGGGGAGGTGCTGCGTGCTCACGTACTCACAGGGTGCACCTCACCTTCCGCTCACCCTGGATTTGCCCCCCATTTGACCCAGGTTGAAAAGGGGTTTCCTTGTAACTTTTTACAATACCTTGGGGCTAGAGAGGACTTTGTAGGTTTATGTGGGTTTCGTTTCTGCAATCTCATCGCTCCAGGTTTGCTATTTATAATGAAGTATGTCATCACCCCATCACCCTCCCCATCCCTGCCCTGCTCTGAGCTCCCTTTAAAGAGGCCCCCCATGGACCCGGCCGAGGGTCCAAGCACTCTGACACCAGAGGAGAGGAAGTCAGACACCTCAGCCCTGCTGCACTGGGTCTTGTCTGGATTAACTTTTTAATTTTATGGAGTACTGTGTACAACTTCCTCCACCTTTTCGCCTCGGATCCAAGTGAAACGTTACCGGATTCCTCCATGTAAATGCTGTCCTCCCGAAGGAACGCTCCAGATCAACATCAGGCATCTTGGATGAGGAGAGATCTCCCAGGGGCGTGAGTTGATCCTCATGGGATGGTTGGGGGTGGGGGTCGTGGCTGGGCACTCGGACAGCTGGTCCTCACAGAACCCCCTGGACATCACCCATGCCCCTGGCCCCTGGCCTTGTCACGTCCTGTCTATAAAGCCTGCCTCCCGCTGGGTGAAGAGGAACTAGGAAGCATCTTTACGGATAGCAGGACCCCCAGACGCTGCGGGGTGTCAAATGAGGCCTTGTGCCCTCCATCCATTTACTTCCTCTGACCTTGGCCCAGGTGGCCGCCCTTGTACTGGAGCTTTTTGCTGGGGCCCATCTCCACACGCCTGGGGCGCTCCTTGCAGAGATAGGTCTTCAAGCGCCAGGGCCACCGTGTAGATGATCTGATGCCCTGTGCCTGCGGTCTGTCCCCTGGACGGTCGTGGCCAGCAGGGTGTGCGCCCCCCCCCCCACCTTGGAGGGTGGCACCCAAGCCTGAGGTTGCTTCAGAGACACTTGAGGAGGGGACCCAGGAAATGCAACTTGGAGGCTTGGTGTGGGGGATCGACCTGGCCCCGCCTTTGGGACTGTTTTCCTTGATGCCCCCGTCTCGACCTTTAGCAGACCTGCCAGCCCCGGGCTTCCCCAGGAGTGGCATCCTGCAGCTTTCTTCAGGGCCTCCGCCCAGCTGCTGAGCGACCCAGTTCTCGGAACTGAGCCCCGTGCCCTCCTGTGACACCATCAGAGCAGTCTGGTCTGGCTAGGAAGGAGACAGCCCTGTGTCGGGGGAGGTTCATTCCTGCATCTTCTCACCCCCTCACCAGGAACTGGGGATTTAGGATGAGATATGGTAAAACTTGTAGATAACCCCACAGATGCGAAGGAAGTTTGTAGAAACATTGGAACGAATGGATTGGTTTCCTGTGGCTCCCTCCAAGCCTGGCCGAGCTCAGCTCCTGAAGCAGGAACCAGCACCATCTCCGGGCCCTACCCGCAGCTTTTAGGTCAGAGAGGAATGGAGGCAGCATTCTTGGACCCCGCGGGGGCTGCTGGAACCGTTCTGGAAGAGGCAAACAGGTCAAACGACCGCCCTGGCTCCGGAAAGGGGTCGCAGGTAGCTCCGAACCGCAGCGGCAAGACCACCAAGTGACTTGGGGAAGAACTTGGAACCAAGCGGCTCATGGAGGAAATCGATCTGACTTAGGAAGGGATTACGTAGGAATAATGTTTGGACTTGATTTCCCCACCTCCTAATCAAGAATGAAAATTTAGATCTGCCCCTCGAGAGGCCCAGCATCTTCCGAGCTTGGCGGGCTGTGCTCCCGCCGCCGCCCGAGCCTTGGGCTCCCGCCGGCTTCCTGCATTTGGTCCGCTGATCATGTTGCCATCGTGTGTATGAAAAGTGTCACATAACCCATCAGTTAAAGAGGAGCTACCAGGTATCTAACTTCTTTAACATTGAGTTTTTGTGTTTTTATGGGTTTTTCTTTTTTTTTTTTTTTTTGGTATATTGTTTACATTTTGAGAGTAGCATTCTGTTTCAAATGCTCTTTTTGTTTTTCTGACAGTATTGTTTGGGTCAAAACATTTGAACTGTGGTTGGATGGATTTTAGATTTTTTTTTTAAAAGGTCCTTCTCTGTGCTATCTTCAAAACCTTGGGTTTAGCCCTCTAATTCCTTTGGCATTCGAATGTTCAAAAGCTGTTTATCTTGGTTTATACCAGTTTTCTTTCTCTTTTTGTAATGATGCAGGTATATTTGGTTTGTGGTCTGAATGTGGAGAAAGTGAACTGACCCCCCAGCTCATGTCTGCCCCCATTCCTTTCTCCGAGCCCCACCGTTCCCTCTCTGGGTTGTAGAAGGCGTCCAAGGGCAAGGGACTAGCCTCAGCCTCCCTCTCTGGAGCCAGGGAGAAAACCTCCAACAATCTCACAGCATCCCAGAATAATTTGGGGTCTCCCAAGAACGAGGGTGTAAGTAAGAATAGGACATGACTGACGGGGTGAAGCCTGGAGGGGGAAGCCTGTGCAAGATTCCTCGCCCTTGCCCGCCTCAGCCGCCTCGCCAGTCGCAGCTTCTCCCGCCCTGAAGCCTGTGGCTGAGAATCCAGTCTCCCGGGCCCCGCAGCCCAAGCGAGGGTTCTCCGAGAACGCCACTGAGACCACTAGAGGAAGGCCTCTGGCCCTTGTTCCTTTGAACAAACTACGGAGTGTGCCCCCCAGTGCGGGCTCCTTCCCCGTGCCCTGCGGTGTGGGGGCCCCCCCGCAGAAGCCAGCAGTTCCGGGAGCGGACTGAGCCGGTGCTCCCCCTCTCCTTACCTAGCTCAGGGGTTACTGGTCTGGGGCAGGTGCCGCGAGTCGCCCCTGTGGCTGGTCTCAGTGGCACCCCCTAAGTTCCCACCACAGGCAGCTCTTCTCCTCTCCCTCCCTCTTCCTCGTTTCTCTTGCCTGTGCTTTAGGCCTCAAACAGGTCCCCTGGTCGTGCTCAGGGCTGGGGACTACAGACTCCTGCCCTAACGTCCGCCAGGACCTGCCCTGGGGAGGTGGACCGAAGACCCGGGACTTTTCTCAGCAGCCAGTCCCCGCCCCCCCCAGTTGTCTTACCAGTTCAAGTGGGGAGGGAAGAAATTTTGGCACTCCCTGGCATTTGAGCTACTCAAGTGTCGGGGGCCAGAAGGGACTGTGTGTTTAACAGCTCTGACTTTAGAACTTACAGCTCCGGCCTTAGAACTGTGGCTCCCCCAAGTCTAGGGACCTCACTTCTTTCTGGCAGAAATGGCGGTGGGAGGGTCCAGCCTGAGCACAGGAATCCCAGGGAAAACCCAGTTGAACAACTGCCCCCAAATCTACCAGCCATCTGCAAGGGGCAGGGACATGGCCCACCTTCCCTCGGACACGTGCCACGTACGACGAGCACCTCTAACGGAAAGAGGAGACTCAGCTGTCCCCAGCGTGTTGTGCTGAGATCCTTGGGAGGCCGGGGAGGAAACTTGCAGGGGCCCCCTCCCCTGCTCAGAGCTGTTTTGTGAGTTGTGAACCAGCAGCCTTGGGGGGGGCCCGAGCTGCTTGGCACACCCGGACATCAGGTCAGATCATGGTCATCAAAAAATGTGAATGAAGCTTAGATTCACCTCGGGGGGTAGTGGGACACACTGGCACCCGCCATACGGACGTGACTTCTCGGTTTCTCGCTGCGACCTCCGTTTTTTTAAATAGGAATTTTCAACCCCTTGTGCTTGTCTAATGTCTGCTCAGAACAGTTCGAGACCCTGTTACTGTTTTAAAATGCATGCATGTTAAGATGAATCTCCAACCCAAGGAACAAATAAAACTCAAAAAGCTTTGTGTACACATCTGTCATGTATGAGTCCTTTGGAAATGAGCCTTTATTTTTTCCAGAATTAAAAGGTTTGGGTCCCAGTTTCAAAGGTTGCTTGGACAAAATCCCAGTGTGACTTGAGTTTGGAGAAAGAATACAGGCTAGGACTTTGGCCGCCGACTTTCCTTCTGCGCACACCGAGAAATGGACAAACCACCGGCCCTCACTTCTCCAGCTGTGTAAGACCAACACCGGCGGGGGGCGGGGCAGACACCTACCACACCTGTCCCTGCGCTCCCGTAACTAGCTACGTGGTCACCTCGTGTATCTCATGTTCTCCATGTAGACTCTCAGCTTAAAATCTAGGGGTTCTCCCCGTGTGGTCCTCGACCAGCTGTGTCAGCAGCAGCTGCAAGTCAGAAACAGAAATTCCGGGGCGCCTGGGTGGCTCAGTTGGTTGAGCGACTGCCTTCGGCTCAGGTCATGATCCTGGAGTCCCGGGATCGAGTCCCGCGTCGGGCTCCCTGCTCGGCAGGGAGCCTGCTTCTCCCTCTGACCCCCCCCTCTCATGCTCTCTGTCTCTCGTTGTCTCTCTCGCAAATAAATAAAATCTTAAAAAAAAAAACCCAGAAATTCCCAGGTCCCTCTGCAGATCCGAAGCAGGAACGGTTTTAACAGGCCCTCCAGGTGATTCTGATGGAGGCTCAAGTGAGGGAACCACCGCCACAGGTTGCAAGCTGGAATCATTTGGGAAGCTTTTAGGAAAGACAGGTGCCAGGCCTTTAAAAGCCAGTTAAGTCGGAATCTTGAGGGATGGGACCAAAGTATCTGTGTGACTAATGTGCAGCCAAGGTTAAGAAACGCTGAACCACAAGGGTATTACCTGTGGCTACGTGGCCCAATTTCTACCTGAAACAATGAAAGATTTAAGAGTTTTCCAGCAGAACTGAGTGAAAAGGATTCTAGACTTTGGGGTCAAATGGAATATGGGTTTCCCTTGTTGCTCCACCACTTATTAAAGTGGCCTTGAGCAAATTAACTGCCTTAAGTCGCCATGATGACTACATTTTAGAACGTGTGAAGCACTTTGTGCCAGGCCCAGCACCCAGCAGGCGCCCAGCAAGTCATCTGTAGCTGTTACCCCACCGGTGCACCAGTAGAAGATGCTCTAAGGCAAGAAGAAACCCAAGGGCTGCGCTATACCCAGAGGAGCTCTTTGTAACTACCAAGCTGGGGACAAAGATCTCTGGTAAAAGACCCAAAGACAAAGAAGCAGAAGTGAAAGAAAAACTATTTATTAAAAAAAAAAAAAAAAAAAAGGCTCTGGGAAGAGAGGGTTAGTCCATGCGGGCCTTCAGTGTCCTGGTGGTGATTTTGTCCTTCTCGCTGCAGGGGAAGAAAGTCACAAAACATCTACACCATTCTAGAATGCAGAACAGCTATGCTGCCAGCTCTGAGGTTTAACTGTTTTGCTTGTTTTACATCAACAGTTTGTCTGCTCAGTCTGGGAGGAGGAAGGGGAGAAAGGCGGAACAGGGAGACTAGTGAAGAATCTCCAAAGCTGGACCCACCAAGAGTCCAGGTGATTCAGGGCTTGGCTGGGCAGCCCTCCAGAGAAGGGCAGAGCGCCTCCCCCCACCCCCCGGCCCAGAGAACCAAGTCAGGAAGGGGAAGTATTGTGTTTCATCCCAAGGAACATAAAAGACCCGAACGGTCAATTCTCTATATCAGCCCCAGTCTGTTTTCATAATTAAGCAAGCTCTCCCATTAAAAAAAGGGTCCAAATGCTTATTTTGGGATGTACCCAAGGAAAGCTGTTGGGAGGACACCTACTTCATCCAATCAGGTTCCTGGTGATAGCTCCAGACACGTAAGGGGAAACGGGGTGGCAGGTAGGGAACTGGCTGGGGTTGGAAAATCTGTTCCCAGAGCTCAGACTATCACCCTGTGGGGGCTCAGAACGTCACCCAGAAGCAGGAGCTGGGAGAGGAGGGAGTCGCCTGGAGTTCTGATCAATCTGCAGTCGTTCTGCTGTGGCGCATCCCCACACAGACCCCTGAGACTTGGGCATACTTGAGAAAGCAATGTCCACTGTGAGCAAGCGGGGGTCGGGGGCGGACTCAGGGTCACGGCGCCTCACCTGACCGAGGCCAGGGACACCAGGCTGGGTTTCTGCTACCCCAAGCCTGCCCCAAGTGCCTTTCCTCCCTCACACCGGCTCGGGGGGATGGGAAAGGAGGTGTTTGTCCGGGAGGGGAAAGGCAGGTGTCTGCAAAGCTGCTGGGCTTTGCCCACTCATACTCACATGATATGGACGATGACTCCCATGCCTGACACTGCATCCCGATCCACAGCATTCAGCATGGCTTGCGAGATGGTTTCAAATAGGTGTTCTGGCTCCTGCCAACGGAGCCGAAGCCTCAGACCCAGAGCCTTGGACCCTACCTGGGTTGACCCCTTAACTCTCTTTTTCCTAGGCTCAAGGCCCCCAACTCTGGCTATCCCCGTGCCTGAAGGGAGGGATGGTTCCCTGGCTGTGGGAAGCCCCCTCAGCTCCTCAAAAGGAAGCAGGGTATGGAAGGGCAAGTGAAGGGGAATTCAAGCTCTGAACTTCCTCCACTAACCAGCAGCGACACCAACGCGGGCACCAAGGCCTGGCAGATGGAGTTTCTGGACACCCTCCCAAGGCCCAGCAGCTGGGCTTTCTCTCCTACCTGCACCTCCTCCTGATGTGAGGACATCACACACCACGTAAACACATGATGGCCAAGGGGTGGACACCTCAGAGCCCAGTCCCACTCCGTGCCGCCGACTCACCATGTTGGGCTCCCAGAGGGACTCGCACATCCCGTACATCTGTTCTGAGCAGGTGCCGCTGACCACAAAGTCGTCAGTCACCATGGGGCAGCCGATGAGGTCTAGAGAGCAAATGAAGGGCTTAAAGGTCTTCGGGTCCAACCCAGCGATGACGGGCTCTGTGTAGTAGGGGCCAAACCTGTGCAGGCCAGGAGCAGAAAGAAACCACAGCTCAAGCACATCCACTTTCCTGCTCAGGCCTACTCAGACGAGGCCCTGGCTCAGACCGGGAAGGAGCACAGAGGGCCTCTTTGGGAAGACCCACTTCCCCAAGGCCAGCTTTTCTTTAAACCCTACGCCCAACAGACGGCTCAACCTCAACGACCGCAGGATTAAGAGTCACATGCTCTACAAATGAGCCAGCTTTGGTTCACCCTTCCCCACCTCCTGGCATCTGACAATGCTCAAAGACTTCTTCTCTTCCCTGACACTTGCCTTCCTATCCTCCTCACCCTGACCTTCTCTTCCACTTCTTTTTGGGAATTCTGATTTCTTCTAATCTTCCCTATCCTAACCAAAGTCCTACCACCATTCAATTCTCTATTCATACATCTATCTATACCTCCACTCCTTTTGAAAACAGCTTTGAAGCAATTTCTAAGAAAAATACTGAAAAGGGGCACCTGGGTGGCTCAGTCGTTAAGCGTCTGCCTTCGGCTCAGGTCATGATCCCAGGGTCCTGGGATCGAGCCCTACATCGGGCTCCCTGCTCAGCGGGAAGCCTGCTTCTTGCTCTCACACTACCCCTGCTTGTGTTCCCTCTCTTGCTGTGTCTCTCTCTGTCAAATAAATAAAAATAAAATCTTAAAAAAAAAAAAAGAAAAATACTGAAAAATAAAACGAAACCATTAAAACAATACAAGACACTCAGACCGAACACAAAGTTTTGTTGTGAGTCTCCCGGCAGGCAAGGCAAAGGACATTCAGTGAGCTGGGTTATTTTCATTGCCTGCCTACAGGAAATGGGAGACTTTCCAACCTGTTCTAGACCCTGAGCTCTGAGAAGAATTAATCTCAGGAATCTCTCTACATAAAACACTCTATATAAAAACTAATGACCACTATTCTCAATAGAAACAGTAAGTTAAGATGTGGGGCGCCTGGGTGGCTCAGTTGGTTAAGTACCTGCCTTCGCCTCAGGTCATGATCCTGGGGTCCTGGGAACGAGCCCTCTATCAGGCTCCCTGCTCAGTGGGGAGTCTGCTTCTCCCTCTCCCTTTGTCACCCCCCCCCCACTGTGCTCGCTCTCTCTCAAACAAATAAAAAAATAAAATCTTTAAGAAATATATATATATAAGATGTCTGGTCTTTACTTACCCACGTCTTCTATCAGCTCTCAGTAATGTCTAAGAGTATGACCTTAAATTATAGCTCTGTAAAAAATAATTCTAAAAAAAAACCTACTTAATTCTAAAGTAAAGGAAGGGGTTGAGATAGTGTGCTTTGATCCCGTGTTTCTTGAACAGATCCCTGTATCAACTTTTATAAAAAAATTTAAAATTTGGGGCACCTGGGTGGCTCAGTCTTAAGCATCTGCCTTCGGCTCAGGTCATGATCCCAGGGTCCTGGGATCGAGCCCCGCATCGGGCTCCCTGCTCAGCGGGAAGCCTGCTTCTCCCTCCCCAACTCCCCCTGCTTGTGTTCCCTCTCTCGCTGTGTCTCTCTCTGTCAAATAAATAAAATCTTTAAAAAAAATAAAAAATAAGGGCGCCTGAGTGGCTCAGTCGGTTAAGCATCTGCCTTCGGCTCAGGTCATGATCCCGGGGTCCTGGGATCGAGCCCCATGTCGGACTCCCTGCTCAGGGGGAACCTGCTTCTGCCTCTTCCTCTGTCCCTCTCCCTGCTCAGTCTCTCTCTCTCAAATAATAAATAAATAAAATCTTAAAAAAAAAAAGTCCGTACATTGCTCAAGTTTGCAAATCACAGCATTAGCCTATTCTGCTGGAAAATCACTGACTTCAATTGGGCTTGTAGAGAAAGCTGCTGACTAACTAAGAACCTAGAATTTTCCAGGTCAGCCTCAATGTTCTATATTTTTCTTTTCTTTTCTTAAAATATTTTATTTGTTTATTTCAGAGAGACAGAGATAAAGCACGAATGGGAAGGAGGGGGAGAAGCAGACTCCCAGCTGAGCAGGGAGCCCGACGCGGGGATTGATCCCAGGACCCTGGGAT